TGGCCAGTTACTGTTTCTGGTATCTTCCGGTATCTAACCCCACATCGGGCCTAAACCTGCTATGGTATCCTCCCAAGCATCTGAAGAGCCTTTGGGTTAACCTGCAAGGATGATGCATTAGATAAGGGGGAGGGAGGGCTGGAGGGTCTCCTAACGCGGAGACTGTTTCCTTCTGTGACTGGCGCGACTCAAGCCTTGGGGACTGGCAGGGATGGAAGCCACCCACCTGGTAGTGAGCGAGGGCTGCTCGCTGCCCTGGATGTGGATCGTGCTGAGCTCTTGCATGCTGCGCAGGCGAGTGGCCGGCAGGTTGGAATTGGGCAGGTGTGTGGTTTTCTTACTGCGGCGGGAGCAGCAGGTGGTGGTGAGGCCCGGGTGGCTGGACAGCGAGGGACTTCTTGTGGACGGGTAGTTCTGCATCGAGCTCTCCATGCAGTTCTGCTCAAACATCTGCTCATCTATAAACTCGTGGTTCTGCGGGAAGCAGGAGGAGAAGTAGGAAGAGGAGACGGGAAGGAGGGGGATGAGCCCCCCATGCCCCGTGGGGCCGCCTGTCTCTGTCTGGGCCTTGAGAGGAAGGCTCCCAGCTGCGCGGAGCACCGATAAGCATCCCAGAGGGGCGATGTCCCACAGGCACCAAATGAAGAAAGAAAAAGATTCCTATTGGCAGCCCTGGCCACAAGACAGAAGGGCGGGGCTTGCATGTTAAATCCTGCTGTGACAATAACTCCACCTGCAGCTCTGAGCTGAAGGGATACAGAGGGCCTGAAGGGGTGTAGTGGTGTCCTTAGAGCTAGAAGCAGACTTTCCTTGCTTGGCAGGGCTTGCACACGACCTCCTGGAAGTGGCAGACAAGGAGTCACTGGCCTTGGGTAGCCAGTATGCTAGGCAGTCTTTAACGCTAGGTTGGATCTAATGGGTGAGATCCGTACGGATCTCGGGTTAGTGTGAGACATCAGCTTTTAAAAGCCCTGGATTATTCACGGAATTGAGAGGGCTTTATTTACTCTTGGAGGCCCGTGGGGTCAAAATGTCAGGGTTATGATTTCTTTTAACTACGGTGCTTCCCCCTGTCCCCCCCCCACCAACCTGATTACGGGATACGGACCCCTAATATATCCGGAGGCACAGGATTCCCTAAGTCGTTAATGTAAGCATGGGAAGGGATGCTAACAACAGCCTTCCGGTGCTGAACCAGGATAACTTAAAAAACGGCTGTTTCGCCAAGGTGACTAAAACTCTATGGCATGAGCGGTCTGGCCGAGGCCGCCAGTGTGAGGAGAAAGTCTGGGGAGAGGGAGCATGAGAACAGCGTACAGAGAGAGACCAGCCCCGGCAGCCAGTACCAGGAGTCCCTGCAGGGCCGGAAAGTGGCACACGGATGCCCAGGGGATAGCAACATGGGTGCCACGTTCCGCCACCCCCTCCGCGCCCTCAGGGAGGTCCAAAGAGGGAATCAGAAAGGCAGTCGGGTTGTCGGGCACAAAAAAAGCCTGAGCTGGTACTGGGTATGGCAGTAGAGGTCGGAATAAGCCCCAGAAGAACCAATGGCACATGCAGAGAACCAGACCGGGGGGTGAAGGGAGGAAAATCCACAGACTCAGAAGAATCAGAGAGAAAAACACATCAATTGAATTTTTAAAAAGTTATACCTTGATGGTGGAGGTTCGTACAGATAACAGGGGATCATCCACAAGATAGGACAACCCCTACAGGACAACATGCCAACAGAAGATAAAAACACCATTGATTGTACATTCCAGCATTCCCAAGCTCAGTACCGACATTCAGTCCCTCCATCCCAACATTCCCCGCCCCCCCACCCCGAAATCCAGCATTCCGTCTCTTTCACCCCAGCCCCCCACCCCCACAGTCCGACATTCATTCCCTCAAATCCAGCATTCCACCCCTTCAATGCCAGCATTCCGTCCCTCCGGCCCCAAAGCCTCATTTCTTCAATGCCAACATTCCAGCCCTTCAAACCCAAATCTTTTTACCCACATCCTTTCAGTTGACACATTCCACCCAGCACATGCAACTCGGAAAGGGCAGTTGGATCCGGGCCTATCCCGTTGGCAAGCTCCGAGTCTTTGAGAGAAATTCTAGATGCACCTGTACAGTTCTTGACCGTCAGACATAGTTGATAAATCCGGGAAACTAGGGTTTTCAGAGTACTTTCCCATTTTGGAAGCCCTCTTTGGGTTCAACTGCCATCCATAGTGTCCACATTTGGCTCATACTTGGAGGTATCTAACATCTATTCCCCCTGCATCTAGAGGCCAGGATATGGAACATTCGGAAAGTAGAAAGGTCCTTCCTTAGGGTGCTGAGCCCTGATCATGGGCTCTCTGGGGAGGGAGGGCCTAGAAAGGAACAGGGAAGGGTTTCACCGTGTCTCTCTTTGGTTGTCCACCCTGACTTCTCCTCTTCCCTGCTATTCCTAACACTTGTTGCCAAGGGTCCAGGCTTGGCCCCACTGCCCTTCCTTTCAGTCTGTTTGTGAGGCACAAGCATCATGCCACATTCCAGCTACGGCATCCTAAACCACGGCTCTATTTTAACAATAAGCCCTGTGGAGTCTGAACTCCCTGGGAGCCACAGGGTGATGAAGAAGCGGTTGTACTGATAACATCCTTGGCCACAGAAATGTAGGCACCGCCTCCTTCATTCACTGTCTTCTGTCCTAAGAGCTATGTAGGGAGCAAAGGAAGGACTCACAAATTGCAGCAACCTAGCCCGAGGGATAGGACAAAAACTGACACCCTTCTCCACTCTTCTGTAACAATCTAGGATAAATTCAGCCTTAGTTTTGAAGAGTGATGGCCTTCGGAACTGAGAAACGGAGAGGCGGAGCCCTTAGCTCTCAGTGATCACAAAGTGGGCTATGGGGACTATGTAGGGGTCTGCAGAAAGGCTGGGGGTGGGGGGACCGACCTCCTGCGCTGCTGCAGGACAGAGCTGGCCTTCTACCCGGGTGACTGTGCCCCACTCACTGGGGTTTTCCCCCTGAGGGTTAACAGAGAACCCATTGCTACTTTTTGGATCTAAAGGCGACTCCGACTTCTGAAGCCTGGGCCCAGGGCGAGGCCATGCGCATAGAGTTCTCTGTGAGTTCTGGCCCTCAGAAAAGAGTCGGGGGTCAGGGGTGAGAAGAAGCGCATTGGGCTGGGACTCACAGTGGTTTTCTCCAGGCAGTGCAGCAGGTGGTGGTGCTGGCTCTCGATGAGTGAAGTGGTCTTGCCCATGTGCTCCTCCTCTGGGGTGCCCTAGGAAGAAAAAAAAAGAAAAGGCTAAGGATGAAGCTGGTGACTCTTCCCGTCTCCATCACTTCACTTCTCCACAGGAGGTGGGAGAGCACCAGAAAAATCGGGATGGACCAAATTTCCGGGTCATCATAGAACATGCTAGCTTTCGGGCTGGCGGCCCTTGGTCTACAGCTGGGTTAGGGGTAGTGGTGATAATCCTATGGGAGAGGTCTGTGGACGGGGCTGCTCCCTGGAGAGTCTGGAAACATGTCTTCCTTAGGGTTCGTGTTGGGGCTTTGGGGTGGCGGTGCCCCTGGGAAGAGAGAGCAAGCCCACCTCCCCAGCCCGGGTCCCGCCGGCGCCTACCATCAGCTCCAGTGCCTCATTGAGGAGTCCGTTGCGCTTGCTGTGCAGGTAGGCATTGGAGCTGCCCGTTTTGGCCACGCGGATCCTGGCCAGGCGAGCCTTCTGCAATCGGCAGAGAAAAAAGAGTGAGTGAGACTGAGAAATGAGACAACAAGCCTGGGAGGAAAAGCCAGAGGCAGCGGGCTGCCCCTGCACGGCTGCGATCCCAGATGAGGTCTGATGAAGGGGAGGAAGTGGCTTCTTCCCAGCCGCACGGATCTCTGTTTATAGATCCTGGGACCGGGTCTGAGACTCTGTGTACCCACTTAGTGCAGCTTGGTCCTAGTCAGAGTTCCTGGGGGTTTCCACTCGTCTCTCTGGTGGAGAGCCCTGGTGGAATCCCGGCAGGAGAAATACCACTCATCAAAGTCCTCCCTCCTTCCAAAAGCTTTATGACCTTTATCTACTCAGTATCACATTAGAGTATGTCTCATCTCTAACTAGACTGCCAGCGGTATAAAGGAGCATACGTTACAGCTCTCCCGATTGTCCCCTAGGGTCCAGTGCGGTTCCCCCCATCCAGCAGGTGCCCAAGGATCAGTTAATTATGAGGAAAGCAAGGTGTGTGCATATGTGCCCTTCACCACTTCTTAACATCTTCCCTTCTTTCTATTTTTTCCCTTAGCACTTATTACTAAGGTAGTAATTGGTTTCTATGTTTATTTTGCAACTGTCCCCCAGAATGTAAACTCCTTGAGGACAGGAGTTCTTGTTTTGTTCACTGATATGTACCCAATGCCTAGGAATTTTTAAATTAATAAGTGTACTTAAAGTTGCATTTCGGTTTTGGGGAGTGGATTCATGCATGGATGTGCCAATACATGTATATTTTTGTCACGTGTGTCTGTGGGAATGAGAGCAGGTGCATGTGAGTGACATGGGGGTCGGTGTGTGTATGACGGGGGGGGGCGGTGGGGCACATTTTCATATGCCACTCTGGCTTTAACTAGGACAACTAGGGCCGGTATCTCAATGCAAGTGCATCTGTCTTGCTTGCAGAGGCCCGGGAGGCTGGACACACTGAACATGCTGCTGCTCTTTTCCTTCCTAATGACCATAATCAGTGTCACCATGACTGCAGCACAACCACAGAGGGAGGCTGAAAGGGAAGAGTCTTTGGGAGAAGAGGGAGAAAGGAAGGGTAGAGGGCTTCCTGCTGGTTTAAGAAAATGCAGCGAGAGTCCGGGTTCCTGGAGATCCAGGGCCGGCTCCAGGTCCTTGCCGCTGGGAGCAGAGCCCACGGACTCACAGACCCATCCTGGGGCAGAGGGGTCCCTCCTCCTGCCTCTGCGGAAGTCCCCTGTAACTTCGGCATGGACATTGGGCAGGACCAGCGCCCTTGGAAAATCGTGGCAATTTCCATTTCTCGTCACTCTCTCCCCAGCACGGGGGAGTGTCCCTTCCAAGTGTCCTGCTTGGCTGGTTCACGTGCTCAAAAGATGCTAGGGAGTCAGATCCAGGCTGTCAATAGAAGCACAAAGGACACACTGTATCTCTTGTTTCCTGTGGCCTACGTGTCCCTGTGGGGACAGCTCAACTCCCTTTCCTGGCTTCTAAATATGGGCACGAGACCAGGACCTGGGCCCGGAAGATCTACCTGGGAATCTGAGGAAGAGGGCTTCTCTGGATGGAGAGAATGGAAAGGGGAATCCAGCCAAGAAAGGATGGTGAGTAAGCCCTGTCAGTCCTCTTCTTCTGAGGAAAGAACTTTCATCCCAGCTCCAGGTCTCCTCCCTGGGGAGCCCGCGCCAGCCCTCCCCTCGGCCAAGATGTCTACGTTCAAGCATGTTGCCCACCATTTGAGGATGCGGCTGTTATTGCCTTGGGTGAGGACTGGGTATTGAGAGCTGCATATGGAAATCCGCTTGTGTCAAGCTCATTATTGCCTTCTATAATTTGATTGCACCACTTAGAGCCAGACCTTTCCCGTATCCGGGGTCTGTCTTCATTACTTTCTAGAGATGAAAGATTCTCCTGTTCTCCTTTGTGGCACTTCTTTTAATCTTATCTTACCCTGGGCTCTATTAGAGCAACAGATTGTCATATCAAATGCACAACGCTGTTTAATCATTTCCCACACAGGATAAAGAGGTTTGCAATGTATTTGCAGAACCATACCCAGCACATGAAATTTGGTGAGGATTTCTCATTTGACTTTGAGCTCCTGAGAGCCCGAGTCTGGCCTACGGGTATTTTTATCTTCAGCGTCTAACACAGAGCTGTGAGCTGAGCAGGAGCTCAAGCAAGGCTGGTGAAGACCCAGGAAGGAAGAAGATCCCTCACAGCTGGTCAGAAATCCATCAGTAAGGCCCTTGTGGTGGGCTCATCCTTGTGCGGACTGGTCAGCTTCTCTCTCCTCCCCTGGTCATAAGCACAACGTGAGAGGTTAAAAGAGAATGTGGGCATCACCTAGGCTACGTTAAAGACAAGGAAATTGAGGGTACGAGGGGAAGTAACTTCTCCAGGGCCAGGCAGTGGGGCTGGAGGGTCTTCCAACCTTCGGGTCAAATGCTGCCTCCATAACATCCCCCTCCTCCTTCCCTCAATTTCAACTCCTGCCAGCAAGTTTCTAAACCAGATTAGCAAAGCCCAGGAAGTTGCAATTTCAACAGGGATGGAGATTCCAGGGTTGAAGGAGAGGTCTGGAAGGAAGATGCTGTCCCTCTGGGTATGGTTCCAGATGCATCTGTGCTCAAGAATCTGTCAGGCCCCAGGAAGCACTTCCTAGCTGGCTGGCAGATGCTACTGGGCCATGAGTATGGACATCTCTTGCCCTGGGAGAGGCAGAAGAAGGAAAAAGAGGGAGGCACGGAAAAGCCACACGAAAACACGGCCAACTGTACTCCCAAGCACTCATGCCAGAGAAATTAAAGCTTACGTCCACACAAAAACCTGTTCGTGAATGTTCGCAGTACTTTATAATAGCTAAAAACGTGGTTCTTATAATCCCGTGGCGTGGGATACATCCATGCCATGGGATACTGCCCAACAAGAAAAAGGAATGGACTATTGACACACACAACTTGGATGAGTCTCCAGGAATTACGTGAGGTGAAAAGAAAGCCGATCTCCCAACGGTTACCAATCTCCCAAATGGTTACCTCCATTTATGTAACGTTTTTGAAAGGAAAACATGTAGATGGAGGACAGATAAATGGTTGCCAGGGGTTAGGGACAGGGTAGAGGTAGGCTGGGAGGAGCCCTTATGGATCGGAGCCATTCAGCACCTTGACTGAGGTGACAGGTGCATGAACCTGCATGGGTGATGAAACTGTATCAGACTTCACACACACACACACACACACACACACACACACACACTTACATA